GTGTTTGCGTTTGTGTGTGTGATTTTTTTTTTTTTGTGGCTTTGGAATTATTACGAAACAGTACCTCATTTCACATTTTTGAGTGAAGTGGTTTTTGTGGAAAAAAAAAGAACAAAATGAGAACTTTCACTTAATATTGGTTTCTTTTTCAGCAATTTTATGCCATCCTTTAATGTCAATTTTTATGTGAGAGCCCTGTGCATCGGGAAAAAAAGACAGTTTGTATCTTGTTTTTTGTTTCATCCCGTTTGTTTTTGGCTGAGGATAGTTGATCTTTTCTACATGCATTGAAAAGTGTATTGTCACCATTGAAATAAATAAATAAATAGCATGTATATTGCATGGATGCACATATTTTGTCCACATTTAAAGTAGCATTTTTGTCACATATCTGGTTTTTGTCATCTATCTGGTTAGGAACTGCATGGTCCTACGTGGCCCTCTGAGTCGCACTGATGAAAAATTGTGGCCCCCTCCAACATTTACGTTGCCCATCCCTGATTAAGATCAAGATAAGACAGTTTATGAACCAAGGCATACAGTTTACCGTATGTTTGAAGCATTGTTGTCATCGCCTTAAATTATACCACAAAAGAGAGGAAATACATCCACTGCTGTTTGCTTGTACGATCGCATTGTTTCGAGGCAAAGCCATTCAGTGATGAACCAAACTAGTTCACAGGATGCAGCAGTAAAAAACAATGAACAACATCCAGAAATGAAATCATTGTGCATCCGTTACGCACCCGTCTAGGTTTAAGTGCATAACAAAGAGAACGGAATCACTTGAAAAAAAAAAAAAAAAAAGCACGGTCCGAGCAACTTACCAGATTTAATATAGATTCACATTCAGAAAACTTTATTTATCCCCATGGGGCAATTTAGAGTTGTGCGAGAGCGGCTTATTATAGAGACAGTCAGAGCAAAGGAAAAACATAGGATGAGAGTAGGGCTGTAGGCTTAGCACTTAAGGTCTTGAGGTAGTGGTTCCAGCAACAAAACAGTAACAGTATATACAGTAACAAAAATTAGCCCAAAGACAAAAAAATATTAAAAAAACAACATTTTCAATGTATTATTAAACAAAAAGGTCACAGAAATGGGTCAAAAGCCGGAGTCTAAAACTAACCCTAAAACTAACTAATACAAACGCAAACATCTAACTAAGGTGGCTCAACAAATAACGAAGAATGAATTGTTTAGCAAGAATCACTGGTTGGAGGCAGAGAGCAAACTGTCACTCCACGGAGGATCATGCGGCAGTTAAGTGTTGGCCAATTAAGAAGGGCCTCTCCATCAGCCATCTTTGCTCGTCCCCGTCGCCCATCTTAGTTCCCAAAGAGATCCTATTAAGGGCAGGAACACTCACTCCCACAGACATACCGGTACATACATACATCAGTGGCGGATGCTGGTCTGTCAAGGCGGGGAAGCGAATAAAAGATTAATTCGTCGCGAGTCATTTTCAACAAAGAGAGTGTCGCTAAGATGATTAGAAGAAGTCTCCAGTTCAACTTGGAACAGAATGAGAATTGAAAGATGCTCCCACGGATGCCGACACCAAAAGATCGGTTATTGGCTCATTTTGCTGTCAATCAAAAAGAGATTCAGCCTCAGACAGATCATCCAATCATCATGCAGGAAAGCTCAGCGTCCGGGCCAGCCGATACACGCCCACTGTCCATAAGCTTCCAGAGACGCTGAGCGTCCGAGGGGCGGGACTAAATCAGCATTTATCCAATGACTCGTCTCGTTTCAATGCATTGGTACAACGGGCTCTGAACTCTCTAGATCAGGGGCCCCCAACCTTTTTTGCCCCACGGACCGGTTTATGTCAGACAATATTTTCAGGGACCGGCAATTAAGGTGTGGCGGAAATAATACAAGAAAATAATATGGTATGAGCTGCATGAAAACTGTGGCGTTTTCGAAATATAATAATAAACACAAGGAGCGTCTAATCTGGCCGCAACACTCCGATCGCTATGGCAATGTTTAATGCCTTCAAAATACGATACAACGCAAATTCAAAGTGCATGAAAATGACGACTCACCACAGCACCGAGCTAGATTTTCTGCAACTAGACGGTCCCATCTCGGGCATACCGGTACATACATACATCAGTGGCGGATGCTGGTCTGTCAAGGCGGGGAAGCGAATAAAAGATTAATTCGTCGCGAGTCATTTTCAACAAAGAGAGTGTCGCTAAGATGATTAGAAGAAGTCTCCAGTTCAACTTAGAACAGAATGAGAATTGAAAGATGCTCCCACGGATGCCGACACCAAAAGATCGGTTATTGGCTCATTTTGCTGTCAATCAAAAAGAGATTCAGCCTCAGACAGATCATCCAATCATCATGCAGGAAAGCTCAGCGTCCGGGCCAGCCGATACACGCCCACTGTCCATAAGCTTCCAGAGACGCTGATCGTCCGAGGGGCGGGACTAAACCATTTGTCCAATGACTCGTTTCAATGCATTGGGACAACGGGCTCTGAACTCTCTAGATGCCCAGCGTCCACACAGTTTAAAGCACAGTGAAGCTGTGGGAATGAATGAGAAGAGAGTCACATCGTAACCAGCAACAAGAAGCTGATTCGGAATAAAAATTGAGCGCATTGTAGCGCATATTTAGTCAATGACATGTACACACAATTGTATGTACACACATTTATTTGATCACGTATTTTTTGACATTTTAGGGGAAGCTGAGCTTCCTTTGCAGTCTTAGAGCAATCGCCTCTGACATACATACATACATACGTACATACATACATACATACATACATACACAACATCAGAGACAGCTGCCACACACGTGAACAAAACAACTACAGCATATACATAAGATTACAAAATACGGCCAGGGCTGTAACACCCCACACTTAAGAATAAACATACTCGGATTTGTCATTGTCCAGACTCAAATAACCCAAAACAGAGCATCAGCCAGAACATTAATTTGGCCTTTTTTATATGTCTTACATCGAAATTGAAATCTGGCATGAGCAGGGACCACCTCATTAGGTAGTTGATTTTCATCTCCTCCAGGAAAACAAGTGGGTTCTGGGCGGTATAGGCCACCACGAGCAGAGAGCTGGAGCCGACATACACCTTGAAATGTTGCAGAGCAAGACGCAGTGCAAAGGCAACTCGTGCTGTACTTTACCTGGTGCTGATTAATCCTTTTCGAGAGTAGCTGACGGGATGGTCATCACTATGCTCAACCACACCCACATCCTTGGCGCTGGCGTCGGCCTCCAGTTTAAAAGGACGCATAAAATCAGAGGCTGAAAGCACAGGATTGCTGCAGAACAACGCCCTGGTGGCTTCAAATGCTTTCTGACACTCTGGGCGACCAAACAAAGGGTTTCGCTGCGCTTGTCCAATGTGTCAATAGCACAACCACACTAATAACATTTTCACAAAAAACATAATAATATCCGGCCATTCCTAGAAAACGGTGCAACTCACGTCCAGATAGAGGGGCAGGATGGTCAAGAATCGCCTGGATTTTAGCAGCAAGAGGTCACACCTGGCCTTGGCCCACCTCCCTCACCAGGTAGATTGCCATGGCCTTGGCGAAGTCACATTTGGCCAAATTCAAAGTAAGCGATGCCTTTTGGAGTGTTTTCAGATGTTCGTGCCAACAACCCGAACACACCACATTGTCGTCTGGGTACGCCTCACAGTTTGGGACACCAGAAAAAAAATGGATACATGAACCTCTCAAAGTTGGCGGGAGCCGTTCGGGGGCCGAATGTCATGACGTTTTACTGGTGAAATCTGTCAGGGCTCACGAAATAGAAATCCCCGATGCACAAGGCCTAAAGGGAACTGAACAATAACTCTTTTAATAGGTCGAGTTAAGTTTGACGCACTGCATTGCGGTCGACATAATCCTCTATTTGTGGCAAAGGTTATGAATCAAGCTTACTAACGTTGTTCACTATCCTGAAATCAGTGCAAAATCGCAGAGTTTGATCTGACTTCTGCACCAGAAGGCAGGGAAAACCACACACTCAAGCTAAGGACCGCCAAGGAAGACAAACAGACAGAGGAAAATAAACATGGATCGTGAGATCCAAAGAGCTCTTTCTAAGTTAAAAGCAAATGTCAGGAAACACTTTGGCTTCTCCAATGTCGACAGTGGAAAAGAGCCACGTCATGTGTAAGCTGTGTTGCGCTAAAACACAACAAACATGAGAAGTCATATACTGTAAGTCGATACCACCCCGACTGATGAGTCTGAAAAAAGGCTGGCTGTTGTTGCTACGGCTACCGTATTGTCCGAACTATAAGTCGCAGTTTTTTTCATAGTTTGACCAGGGGTGCACCTTCTACTCTGGAGCGACTTGTGTGTGAAATGATTAACTCATTATATCATTTCACGTTATATTCACCTTAAACCGCAAGAGGGTGCTCTAGGCCTGTGTCTGAAAGTCAAGTTGATATTTTCGTAAGTAGGAGCCACAATTTTGGTCAGATTTAAAATACAGTTTATAAATTTATGTCACTCAGGACAGCAAAATAAGCAAAACAAATTTTCAAGCTTCTGTACAGGCACATTTTTAATTAATTGGTAGTTTTTGTTCAGTCATTTAATTTTCGTCTTAATGAGCCAAAACATAAATGTTTGTGTGCTTTTTTTGTTGTTGGGTTTTTTTTGTTTTTGTTTTTGTTTTACAAAATGCCATTTACTTTGGTAAATCAATTCTTTGTCAATGGTTATTTATGAAAGCATTGCACAAATGTGGCAACATTCCATCTTGGAAGCATTTTCATAAAATACAGGGTGTTCCAAAAGTCTTGGGCACATTTGAAGTCCCTTAACTATGAATGGTAGTAAGATAAAAGTTGTGCCATTTTAAAGATAATGACATTAAGTTTTTTGTAAGGCTATTGATTTTTTTAAATTTTCTTTTCAGACCCAGAAATGGCGTTCACTCAACCAGAAAAGGCGTTTTGTGTGCTTGAATTTGCAAAAACTGAATCATGGACTGTTGTTCAACGTGCATTTCGCAGAAAATTCGGAAAGGATCCACCAGAGAGGAAGTCCATAGTAAGATGGCATGGTAAATTCATAACGGATGGGTGCTTATGCCCAGCTAAAAGAACGGGACGCCCCTCAACTTCAGAAGATGTGATTGAACTAGTTCGAACTGCTTTCCAGCGGAGCCCCCATAAATCGATCAGAAAAGCCAGTAGGGAACACACCATGCGATTTCTTTTTGTAGGGATTTGTGAAAGGATTGGTCTACGTGCCCCCCATTCCAAGAGACGTGGATGAGCTGAAGGCACGAATAACAGAAGCTGTTGCAACCATTGACAATGCAATGCTGGGACGTGTTTGGCTTGATGTGTGTCGTGTGACCAATGGTGCTCACATTGAACATTCCCTGTAAAAATTGAGATTAAAAGCTTTCTGAATTTAGCAGACGCGTTTTTATATTCTTAATAGTTTCCGAGATATTCAATGTCAAAATGTGCCCAAGACTTTTAGAACACCCAAAATAATAATGAAAATGAATTCATCTCTTGTTTCTTGTGAGAAATAGGGTTTTTAAAAATCGCAAGTGAACCTTAACTCAGGGAAAACAAACAATGTGTTGTGAAAAAGGGCATCAATATAGATAAGATGCCTTCAATATTTGTTTTTTTTTTAATCCAATCATAGCTCTTGAATCGTAATTGAATCGTTAAGTGGCCAAACATTGCCACCATCAAGAATTTTGGCAGATTATCAAATGACACCACAAAATAATGGCACATGAGGGCCCCCGTCGAAGAATAATTTTTGGCGCATGTCACCTGTCTGAAGAATTAGCTGATTTCCCTTCATCCACCCTCACAATGACCATTATTATTATTTTTTTTCCAAGCATGTTGACCAACAACCATACCAAGCCGCCCCAAACCTCCACCCCCACGCTGACGACTATTCTCAGGCCAAATTTAGGTCACAGCAGTCCCTGCTTGCAATATATAAGTTTACTGATGGTTGTTGAACTCATGTAAGTTTGACACGGCACACATCTACAAAGGATGCTGTATATGGAATTACTGTCATATACTGTTCTTTTAAGTTCACAAAATATACAAGTTTCATGCTGTACAAATTTACCTTATATCTGGGACTCTCAAATGCAATACTATGTTCACTATAAAACAGATACAAACTGCAAAAGTTTGATATTTTCCATATGGTCGATGACTTCTGTCAAATGAGTCTTTCCTCTGGTGGAATTTTGAGCATTCTGTCCATCTTCAACCGAGCCCCGGCCAGCTCTTCAGAGCTGGGGCTGTAAACTCCCTCTGACTGGCGCTTCTTTCTTGTTGTTAAAATCATGAAGGTCAAACCACATATTAAAACTAGCATGGAGAGGAACAACAAGGTGACAGACGTGACCAGCCAGGCCATTTCTTGTTTATTGGCTTGTGTCTGCAAAGGCAAAAAGAACAAAAATTGGGCTGAAGTGATGAAACTGTAGTCTGATAATGTAAGAAAACCTTTTATAGTCTCACACTGGAGAAATTCCCACTTCACAGCAGCAAAGTTATGAAAGGAAGAAGTAGAACAAAATAAATAGGAGCTGCTGGAAAGGCAGCCACTCTCGCGGCGCCATCTTGAAATCAAAATAACACAACAAAACACATAAGACACAGACAGACAGTCGTGCAATCCTAATCACTTTTCCTGCATACACTTTGTTGTATGAAGGTCGCATATATGTATACATGCACATATGAAGTTAAGATATAACTTTTTCAATAGTTGAGGCTTTCATTTATTCTGGGCTAGGATAAGGCTAGCTAACCAACAATCTATTGCAGTAATGCAGGGGTGGCCAACCCGCGGCTTGCGAGTTGCATGCGGCTCTTTGGCTGGTTCAATGCGGCTCCCGGGCTTTCCCACAACAAGCGTCGAAAACACCTCGGCAGTGGCGCTGTCATTCAAACAAAGGCGCTAAATACACAGAACGGACTATCATCAATTGCGTTACTTGATTGACATGGAGGGCAATCAATCATTTGACTGAATCACCGCTCATGCGCAAACAACGGCGCTAAGCGCTAAGCTAGTCAGCGAATTACCTCTGATTTTAAGGCAGGGGTGCCCAATACGTCAATCACAATCGACCAGGAGCCAGCGGACTGCTCCCAAGTCGACCGCAAGGGGTGGAAGGAGGAAATGGGTGGGGAAAAAAAAGATTTGTGTGTTTGTGTCTTTAGCTTTCATTCACGTTCGGGCCGTTCCGGCTGTTGCTCATCGTGGCATGCGTGCATATGTGTGCGAGTGCATGACTGGGCACCCGCATGCGCACGCGCATGCGCGTGTTCGTGTGTGTGTGTGTGTGTGTGTGTGTGTGTGTGTGTGTGTGTGTGTGTGTGTGTGCGCGCGTGTGTGTGCGCGCGTGTGTGTGGACGCGGACGGCCCATCTGTAAGATGTGGTTCTTTGCAGTAACACAGTAAAAGAATTGGCTCTTAGTCTCTGACTGGTTGGCCACCCCTGCAGTCATGGATCATGCTGTGATCCAGAAAAACATTTTTTCAAAACAACAATACAGCACTTACATTGGTTTCACAGACTGGCCCACTGTATCCTGGTGGGCATTCACACACAAACATATTTAACCGATCCAAACACGTCGCACCATGTCGACAGGGGTTGGAGCCACACTCATCAATCTCCAGTTCACATCTGTAACACACGAGAGCATATGTCTTTCTGAAACATTAAACCTCCTAAATGCTTTAAATTCTTTTACCCCTGTGTAGAGGAGGGATGGGCAACAGTCTCACGGCCACTCTTGGAGTTGCCTTTGATAAATTTGGGGAAAGAGAAAAAGTTCATTGTTGCCCAGCCAGTGAAAGATGTCATACCAGGGTTAACCACAGGGTAGCAGACATCGCTCATCAGTGCCTCCTACCCAAGACTTTTATGCCTAACAGAAGAAGACCTTGTCATTGCCCCCATCTGCGGATTTATATATGAAAGCACTAGCAATGCCGCTTACTTGCCGTTGAAAGAAGTGAAGCCATCTTACTGGCGGCTGACTAAGCGCAGCTAATTTCAAATTCAGAACTTTTTGTGTTAGCCTTAGATTCTCTGAGTCATGAACTGCCATACTGCTGTGTAGTGTTTCAGTGTCTCAGCCTTCACACAAATGTTACTCCCGTTTTTTTTTAGTATTAGTATCATTCTGACCACTTTTTTTGTCCTGCATCTCCTCCCGCGTTTTCATCCGATTCACTCTCCATTCCAATTTCAAAATATTTCGTAAATATTATTTTCAACCCCCCAAAAAACCCCAATTTATTCCGAATGAGACATTCAACAAAACAGATTAACTTCAATCCCCTTGGAAAATCAAAATACTGTATTCAGCTCAATCATTTCACCTTGGGAACAAATTTAAACCTTACAAAAATTCACACATATCAAACATTTCAAAATTCCCACAGTAATTTCGTGAATTTTTCAGCCAAAAATATCACAAATTTATACATTCCACATAATTTGCTGAATCACACAAATCCAATTTTAACACACTGCAAGAATTCTGGACTATTTTTTTTTGTTCGTACAAAAATTCACATTTTTCATAAAATTCTAAATTTTTCCACCAAAAATGTCCTTTTAATTCCAAAAGGCACATGCTACATAACAAATCGCTCCTATTTGAAATTTAAGTCTTTCAGCATATTCAATTCACCTTGGGAATGATTTTCAACACAACTTAGGAAGTGCGAGACTACAGCGAGAACAGATAGCCAGGGTGAATGACTTTAAGTACTTTGGGTCTATGGTGCAGAGAAATAGGAACTGCAATAAGAACCGAAAGATACAGATCCAACCAGGGTAGGAATGCATGGAGGAAAGTCTCGAGTGTCTTATGTGATAAAAGAGTCCCTGCTAGGATGAAGGGAAAAGTTTATAGTGATGACATCGGCCATGATGTAAGAATTAGATACAGAGGCACTTAAGAGATAACAGGAAGCAGATCTGAAGGTGTCGTAAATGAAGATGTTGAGGTTTTTTCTTTGGAGTGACCTAAGGTTAGAGCAGTGGTCCCCAAACCCCGGACCGCGGACCGGTACCGGTCCGTGGGTCATTTGTATTGTATTGTATTTGGTACCGGGCCGCACAGAAAGAATGAATAACTTATATTACAACAACTTCCTTTTTATTTATTTTGGAATCTGAAAGATATTTTATTTTGAAAATTTACCGGATTCTCTGTTACGTCCGTCTACAGCAGGGGTGTCCAAAGTCGGTCCTCAAGGGCCGCTGTCCTGCCTGTTTTCCAGCTCTCCCAGGAGCAACACACCTGATTCAAATAATCAGGAATGTTCTAATGCTGCTTCAGAGCTGGATCATGAGCTGATCATCTGAATCAGGTGTGTTGCAGCCGAGAGAGATGGAAAACAGTCAGGATGGTGGCCCTCCAGGCCTGGAGCTGGACATGCCTGGTGTACAGTATGTTACTCTTGACGCAGATCAAGGGGCGCTTCTCGGTCACGTCATAGGTTACCGCTAAAATGAAACGCAGGAGCTAGCAAAATGAGTCAAAAACAAACGTCTTTGGGAAGGGGAAAAGGCCCAGCCAGGAGACTTTCAAGATAAACAAGGCTACATTTAATAGACATTGTCAGGACCGCTGGGTTCGAGGTCTTTGGGACGAAGTTAGAGAGAGCAGACTCAGATGGTTTAGTCATGTCTAAAGGGGAGATTGTGAGTAATTTAGTAGAGGGCTGATTAGAATGGAGCTCTCAGGCAAAAAGAGCTAGAGGAAACATGCAAAAATAGATAGTTTGGACATGTCCAGAGGAGAGAGAGTGAGTATATTGATTGAAATGTGATGAGTATGGGGCTCCCAGGAAGAGAGTGAAAAGAATACCTAAAATAAGGTTGATGCATGTAGTGCAGGGGTGTCCAAAGTCGGTCCTCAAGGGCCCACTGTCCTGCCTGTTTTCCATCTCTCCCGGCTGCAACACACCTGATTCAAATAATCAGTATTCTTCTAATGCTGCTTCAGAGCCGGCTGATGCGCTCATCATCTGAATCAGGTGTGTTGCAGCCGGGAGAGATGGAAAACAGGCACGACAGTGGCCCTCCAGACCCGGAACTGGACATGGCTAATGTAGTGAGAGAAGACATGAGGGGCGGTTGGTGTTAGAGAGGAGGATGCAGAAGATAGACTTGGCTGGAAAAGGACAACGCACTGTAGCAATCTCGAACGGGACAATTTGAAAGGATGACAAGAAATATGTCCTTGAACAGAAACTTACCTTTTGCCTTTAAATCCTGGAACGCATGTACAGTTTGCTCCCCAGAGGCCATCATTGCAGATTCCATCATTTGCACAAAGCACATCTTTACCACATTGTAGTGGTGGATAGTCCCACCTATTGTAAAAGGAATTAATGTGTAATGTATGCAAAAAAAATAATTAAAATAATAATTCAACTTTATATACATTTTGATTTGCATACTTACTCGCATAGTGGACCGCTGTAATCTTTTGGGCATGAACAGGTGTACATGTTGGTTCCGTCTTGACAGGTGCCTCCATGTTTACAAGCATGTTGTTCACACTCATTAATATCCACATCACAGAGTGTTCCTGAATATCCAGGGTGGCACAGACACTCAAAACCAGTTAAGTAGTCTTGACAGTTCCCATGAGCACAAGGGTGGGAAACACAATCATCAGTTTCTGTCTCACAGAGATGTCCTTCCCAACCTGAGTCACACTGACAGTTATATTTATTAAAGAGATCATGACATGTAGCTCCATTTCGACACGGATCTGAATCGCAAACAGGGACACCGCTACAGCCCAAATACAGTTTTTGTTTTCCAAGTAAACGGAATGGAGATTGCTGTGGAGTGTTGAAGTCACTGACAAATGGAAGATAAACTCCTCCGACCCTTACTGCTCCTAAGCACCCGATAAAGCTCTCTGCTATGGTGAGAACAGAACTTTGATCATGGAGAAAGTGTAAACTGCCTGTGGTCTTAGGTAGGCTGCTGGCGTCAACTATTCCATCCACAGTAATTAGCCAGTGAGAAGCTTTGTGATCTTGCTTTGCCATGGATACATTTACCCGATGCCACCTGCCATCACTCACTTTGCGCTCTCCGGTAAAGATCAGTAACTCAGGTCTGGTGGCTATGTGGATCTCAACCCAGATTGAGGAGTCAAGCAGACCTACTATCAGCAGGTCAGAACCCTTTGAGGCCTTCAAAAGAACTGCACTCTCAGAACGGGTCCGTAGCTCCATGTATATTGAAGATACCGGTTCAGCCAAGGAATCTCCAGCACTGAACTGTACAGGACTGTTGTTGAATGTTGCATTGTATATACCTAGGGGGAACATATGAAAACAGTTGTCAGTAATTATCATTATCCATCCATCCATCCATCCATTTCCTGATCCGCTTTATCCTCACAAGGGTCACGCGGCGTGCTGGAGCTTATCCCAGCTGTCTTCGGGCAGTAAGCAGGGCACACCCTCAACCAGTTGCCAGCCAATCACAGGGCACACAGAGACGAACAACCATCCGTGCTCACACTCACACCTAGGGACAATTTAGACCAGGGGTGCCCATTACGTCGATCGCGATCGACCAGTAGATCAAGGACTGGTCCCAAGTCGATCCGAGGGGTGTAGAGGGGAAAAAAAAAAAAAAACATTTGTGCCTCTGTGCTTGTTAATAATATATTTTTGTGTTAATGCACACTGCACCCTAATCATTCTATCAGTCTCACTTTCACAAAAATTATTTAAAAAAGAAAATAAAATAAAGCAGGTCATCTTTAACCTACGGTGACTGCGTCACCGGAAGTTGTTAGC